TTTTTTTGCCCCGTCGGAAGCGAGGCCTGCGCGGGGCTCACATCCGCCGGGCCTTGGCAGTCGGTCTCCCCTCCCTGCTCCGAAGAACCTCGAAGTGTGGCCTGCGCTGGTCTCCCTCCCTCCCGCCACTGCCGCCACCGCCGGGCCTCACCTGTCAGGCGCTCCTCTCCGCCTGCACTGAAGCGGGCACATTTGGTAAGGCTTGCCGCTCTTCGTCCGACGTCTCGCCGGTCCCCCCCTCTGCTTCGGGTCCCCCCCATCCTTGCTGGTCTCTCCACGCCTGGCCACCTTCCCAGCTTTGTCCTGGCCTTGCGTCATTTTTTGCCGCCGCGCTGTTTACAGAGCGTTCCCTGCGCATGCGCAGGGGATGCTCTGTAACTTTCGGGGGGATTTAAACATCCCCCGATATTTTTTTCAACTTTTTTTTATTTTTGTGCACACGTGGGGACTGGCCCACGTATGCACAAACCTCCCCCGGCCCCCCAGCTGCCCCCGGAGCGCTGATTTAGCGATCCGCACTCCGGAGGCAACTTCGCTATTAGATATATAGATGTGGCCGAACTGCGGGAGATTCAGATCAGAGAATCTGAATCGGCTCGCAGCAGCCTGAAAGGGGCATGAATGGGCCATTTTTGAGGGTGCATTCGGTTCAGATGAACCGAATGCACATCCCTCCAGCAGCCTGTTTGTTCGGGCTCTCTGCAGCCGCAGGGATCCTGAGCAAGCCAAGGGAAGGGAAGGTGGTTTAAACTGCCTCTCCTTCCCTCCAGCAGCCAGCTTGCTCGGGCTCCCCGAGCAAACCAAGGTGTAATGTACTCCGCCATTACCACGTGCGCGACCGTTGGGCGATGAAGGTGGGATTCTACCTTCCCTGAACAGGACCCAGACGAGATCAAGCCTGCACCGAGCTCCGATCGAGACCCCCGATGTGTCCGCCGCTTCGTCTCGGAATCACCGCTCAAACCTCCTCTTCCTCCTCCTCCTCTGGCTCAACCTCCCACGAGGGCATCGCATACTTCGATCTCTCTCATCCCGAGCAATGGGAAACGTGGGTAGTGATCCTAGAGAACTACCTGACGTGCCTGAAGATCACCGACCCAGGTATGAAGAGGGCCCATCTCATCCGCTTCTGTGGGATGGAAACCCTCCTTCTCCTACAGGATCTGATAGCACCCCGCAAAGTGCAGGAAGAGAGTTTCGAGGCGCTCATCAAGGCCCTCACTGACCATCTCGCTCCAAAGCCAACCAAATTCGCGGAGCGAGTGGGCTTCTTCGAGAGGGTACAGGGCCCAGAGGAGAGGGCCTCCGAGTTCCTCGCAGGCCTCCGACGGGCCACCACGCGGTGTGCTTTCCCGAGCCTAGATGACACGCTGCTCAATCAATTTATTGTGGGCGTGCGAGAGTCCAAGTTGCGCCGACGCCTGGTGAGGCAGGACGACTTGACTCTGGACAAGGCACTAAAGGACACGGCGGCCTACGAAAACGCCCGACAGGACCGCAGCGGGAACGCGGTCCATCGCACCCAAGCCACATCGGAGTCGACCGACTCCGAGGAAGACGAGGTGCTGCAAATCCGTCGCCATACCACACCATCACATCGTTCGAGGGGAGCACCGCCAGCGAGGACGGGTGAGTCAGCTCGACCATGTGCCAGCTGCGGAGAGGCGCATGAACGCCAGATCTGCCGTTTCCGGGATGCCGTCTGCCGGGCCTGCGACAAGCAAGGCCACATCGCCAAGGTCTGCCGCAGCCGCCGACAGCAAAACAAGAGGTTGACTCACCAGGCAGAGCCGATCCACACCGTGGACCTCCACTCCATCAGCTTCCATGCCGTTTCACACCAGCCCCAGCCCCAGGTAGGTGAAGTGCCCCGGGGCGGCCGAAACAAAGTCCATGTTTCGGACCGTATAGAGGGGTCCCCCTGTAGCATGGAGCTAGATACCGGCTCCAAGTTTACTATAATATCAGAGGAAACACTGAGGAGAGTGTGCCCGAAGGGGGGGGGCCTCTGCGCAAGCCACAATTTAGGTTGCAGGACTTTAACAAGAATCCGGTGGCTGTATGGGGCTGGGGCAAATTCATGGTGGAGTTCCAGGATTTCAAGGGACCTCTGGACATTCTGGTGGTGGGTGACCAGCTTTCCAGCCTCCTAGGGATGTCCTGGTTTAAGCCGCTGGGCTTGACCATAGGGATGTCCTGGTTTAAGCCGCTGGGCTTGACCATAGGGATGTCCTGGTTTAAGCCGCTGGGCTTGACCATAGGGGGGCTCCACCACTGGCAGCGGGTAGATTTCATGGACGTTTGCAATGAGTTCCCGCAGGTTTTC